AATTTGAATGGAACACATATTCATTCCAAAAAGGTTATATCCGGCACTTCTCATGAGGGAATCTCTTTAGCCAATCCAATTGAAGTTTCGCATAAGGAGGTTGAGAATGCTATCACTGTAATCTGCCAGGATTTTATAACGGAACTCCAAAGAAAAAGAATGCAGGAAGCGTCATTTCTTTATTTCTTAGTTCCGGGAAAAAGTCTGGCATGCCAAATAGAAACTCTGCTCATCAACAAACTTCTGAATCATAGCTATCCTCTCCTGCCAAGTAGAGTACGGCCTCACAATCCCAAGTCGTGAACCAACGTGCACGCACCAGCCTCACCGCCTCTCAGTAATAATACCTACAAGACGGAACCATGAGTTTTACGGAAGCGAATTTCGTAGCAAAGCCGCACCGCAGCCAACAACAACACCATAATGAAACCTGCAAACACACACCATCTGCCAAAACAGCTCGCGTACCGACACCCTATGCATACCATTACCCGCAGTTGAACCTCAAACTCCCACTTTTTTTTTTAAAACTGCTGACCCCATTTGTATCCTACAATGCAGTCAAGCCTGCAATACCAAGAAAATGATACAAATTAGGAGAACATTTTTCACAAAAAGGCAAGCTTGGCTACAACTAGCCAAAATACCTGTAGTCATGACCTGCAAAACAAAACCTGCTACACACCACTATCCCAACACCCACAGCAGACAAAACCTGCAGCAAAATTGTACCATAGGAAAACATCATTGCCAGCTATTATGGTGTACAAAAACAATGGAAAGGGTAAAAAAAGCCGAGGGCAATCACCACTACTACCAAACAACAACTCTGCTACTATCTCTGTACACTGCTACACAAAGACAACACCTGCAAAATCAGCCTACACCCTGTAGCACAACAAGAAACAAAATCAGCCTACACAAGCCATGCCAGACAACTCTGCTCTCTACTATACTTGCCTGCACCATTTCCACAAGACTCCAAACATAAGCCACACCAGACAAGCTCTGTCAAAATGCAACAGCACTCCAAACTGTACCTGCATAACACAGCAAAGACAGCCACTACATCAGAAAAAGGCAAGAAGACTAAAGGAAAAAATTGATAAAAGGGGGAACTCTTCATTTTTTGGTGGGGGGGCTCACAAATGAAAAACAACTCAACCTCCATCAACTTAAAACATCATCCTCAATAAACACACTTGGGGAAGCCATTTTCAACTTCAATCATCGTGTAACCTCTGACTCTCTTTCCTTCCATCTGCTGCCATTTTATTTCCACTCTCCAACCTTCATCACATAACCAACAACAATCATCAATATTCAAACTTCACCTCAACAAACCTACATCATCATTAACATACCTCACTCACCACAAGAACCAACAACCATCTTCATTCGCTATTCCAATCGATTCCTGTTGCAGCAGCATGAGATTTATACGCGAAAATCACTTCCGCTCCCTCATCTTCATAAACAACATATGCAGTAACACATCAACTGCACCATAACTTGAAATCCACATTGCATCTTCTTCACCATACATAAACCCCCGCTTCCATCTTCGAAACGGTGACGCGAACTTGCCCCACCACTTGCCGATCAACTCTACCCATCTAAACCAACCACCATCAACACCTGCATAACAACCAATTCTGCAAAAGATCAAAATTTCCGTCAGCATATAACCCCATCACAGCAGCTACAACTTTAGATACAACACACTTCCTCTGTTTTTCATTGACAACTCAACAATAAACTTCATGGAATTCAACCCCTGTTCTTTCCACACATCACTCAACATGACTCATAACGGCAACCTAAAAAAACATTCATCGCGTCGCCGCCACATAATTCTTTCCAGACAGCCGCAGTGTTAATCGAAACCGCCGTGTGAGTGTGAGAGCCATGATAGAAAGAATCAGAGTTTGAGAAAAAGCAAGAGCAAGACCACTCAAACCTGAGGAAAGCGAATCCACGCGAGAAAGCTCAGATGAAACGAATCTCGAACGCAGTAAGACGAACGAAATCCATCACGAGCGAGGCTTATTTTAAATGGACTTGAATGAGCGAGGTTGACGGAATTGAAGCATTGAGTGGGCAAGAAAGAAGGATCCTCGTCCGTTTTCTCTGGTACAATCGATGGTGATGCGATGTTGATAACCAGACTTCTTTTTTCCCCTTTTCAGTTTGTTCTAAGAGTAATTTGGCTTTAAGGTAAGTGGGCTTTGCCGTTTCCTTTCAATATAGCTGGTGACACCCCCCGTTTTTGAGCAGTGTGATGATGAACGGGTTTGAAACCCATTATGATTCACATACTCCTCACCCCTGTTTTATTTCATAAAACCCACTGCTTTTGTCTTGTTTTAAGTTTGTATATTATTTTTTGTTTTAGTATTTTTAAAAAATATGTTTTTATTTTAATTTATAAATTAGTAATATCTTTTTCCTATTAATTTTAGATTACTTCATATATATTATTTTATTTTCTAATTTCCTGGTTTATAATACTTTATTTATAGTAGTTTCTTTAAAGCTTATTTTATTTTACATATTATTCTAAGTTTCATATCTTCCTTTATTTTACATTTTTAGAGTTGGAATTTATTTCTTATTTATTATTGGGTCTTTTATCCCATTTTCATCTATTTTAGGTCGATGACGAGACCACCTTCGGTTCTCTGTCAAATTATTGATGAGAAACGAAGGATCTGAGACCGCTCTTTTCGTTTTCCATTTTCGATTCATTTTCGACTTTATTTTCATTTCACTTTTTTTGGGTCGATGACGAGACCTCCGTAAACCGTTATTAAGTCAAACTATTGATGAATAATGTTGGATCTGAGACCACCTTTTTTTTCTCTCCTCGTTTCTTGTCCCGACTCGATTTAAAACTTTGCCAAACAATTTTCAAAATCAAATTTTCTTTGTATTGAATTAAAAGAGGGGATTAAGTGTAGACTTTCTTCCTCTCCGAGTGTTGGGATGCCCACTGTAGTGAGGGTGGTTCCGACACTCGTCTTTTAATACGAAGACGTTCCCCATCCATTGTCAAACCATCTTTTAAATCATATTCTTTATATTGAATTAAACGAGGGGATTAAGTGTAGACTTTCTTCCTCTCCGAGTGTCGAGATGCTCACTGTAGTGTGGGTGGTTTAGACACTCGTCTTTCAATACGAAGACAACATTCTCTCTCCTCCTAAAAACCTCGGTCCCGCACCGAGTAACTTTTCAAACTTTTCCTCCTAAAACCTCGGTCCCGTACCGAGCATACTTTCGATAATAAATTGATTTCTCTTTGTATCGAATTAAGAAGAGAAGATTGGGTGTAGACCTCTTCTTCTTCGAGTGTTGGAATGCCCACTGTAGTGAGGGTGGTCTCGATACTCGTCTTTCGATACGAAAACACGACTTTATCCACCATCTCGCTTTTACAACTTCCTCCCGCAACCCTTGTCACCTAAAAACCTCGGTCTCGCACCGAGTGCATTTTCAAATCTTTTCATAACAAAAAACTTGAATGGTCGTGGTGTGGTTAGGCGTAGGCTTTCTCCTATCCCGAGTGCTGACGTTTACCGTAGGGTTCTCTGTCGCAAAAAGCACTTACCATTCAAAACCAAAAACACTTTAATAAGAGAATGAAGTTCTCTTTGTGTTGAACTAAAGAGAGAGGATTGAGTGTAGTCTTCTTCCTCTCCGAGTGTCAGGATACTCACTGTAGTGTGTGTGGTCTTGATACTCGTCTTTCAATACGAAGACGCTATGTTCGCCACACATTTTTACAACAAAAACTTTGAGATAATGAATTGGGTACTACCCGTAGGGGTTACTATCCGAGGACCTGTCTCGCCCCCTAAAAAACAATCTAATCAATCAAACGTGACTTCTTGCCCCGCGTGGCGAAAACTAATCAATCTTTCAAAAGGATATGATACGTCCGTTCTACCGCAAACAGGTAACGCCTAAGTCTCCAACGAGCGAGCAGCAAAACACCTAACTGCTAGAATGCGCACGATAGCATCATCCATAAAAAACATCAACACACCGTAGGCTGAACTACGGCTGCTCTGATTCTTTACTTTCTCAAGTAAAGATACGTAGGCACAAGGGCCACAATCCTTGCCGAGCATATTCCCCCTTATATCTGTAGTTCCCCGAACTACGTCGACTCTGACTTTCTCATATCTTATGAGAATACGTAGGCCTAGGACCGCGAAGTCCTACCGAGTCTGTTCTATCTCCTTTCTCCCCCATTATCTCTCTATCCCTCATTTCTTCGTTTCTAAACCCTTCTCTCTATCTTTTAGAACACTCTTTTTATAGCATAATATTTAAGCAGATAAATTCACACATCGACAAACAAAAGGTTCCCATCGAGTACGATGGATGCGAGGGGTGCTAATACCTTCCCTTCGCATAACCGGCTTCCGAACCCGTTCATGGTTGCGAGACCATCTTATCCATTTCTTTCTTAAGGTTTTCTCGATATTTTCCTTTCCCCTCATGGGATAAATAAAGTTCGGTGGCGACTCTTCTGTCTATCTTTTTCGCCTTCCCGTCGTTGCGCGACGCACTTTTTCGAGTAGCGACAACATCACCAAAAACTTTGAAATCCATTTGGCTTATACCATCGCACCAAAAAAATGTTCAAGCCTACCTTCTCCATCAATATTATGGCGATAAAACATCATCGGGTCATCTGATGCCAGCCCACGAAGATAGTGTAAAACATTTTTACCATCGCATCGTTGCAAAAGGCGTTGCTTTCCTATTTGATTATATATATCCTTCCTACGAAACCCTATTTTTTCATACCCTCCTGATTGGTTGGCAAAAGAACCATAGAATTGAGACGGCCTTATACCAACCTTCAACATGTCGTTCATCTGCATTATATCTGACTCTTTCATTTTTCAATGTGAAGCAAGCATTCCATGGTACTCTTCATCTAAAAGCTCATGATTGTGTTGATCATAAAAAACTGTTATCCACCAACATTATGAGACCATGTCTATATGCACTCGAAATTTTGCTTCACATCCACACCGAGTCTCAGGTTTACACTCACGCTTAAGATTTTCTATCTTTAAACCTCTGTCCTCCCTAAACCCCTGTCTGTGATAAACAAATGTCCGTTGTAATATTTCTCCTTTCTTGCTTCGAAGGATCTTACTCTTGCAAACTGCAAACTCGTTCACTTTAGCATACTGGTTGTAAAACTCATAAGCCATGTCTAGACTTGGAAACTGAAATTTCCTTGTCTCATGGGGACTTAATCTTTTCAGGTCCATGCCAAGAATATCCTCCATGCTATCAATATTTATAATTTTTTCAATAGATTCTTCATCCTCAGCAGGAATGTCATCAACAACAGTGGTCTCGCATGTTGCTTCATCAACTACTCCAGTTGACAAGTCTTCTACTCCTTATCATAATAAACAACATAGTTTTAATATAACTGTCAAAGTACAATAATACTAGTATTTAAAAATTTCTCCTTTTACCTCCATACTGCCTACAACTATTCGACTAATGATACCACTGCTCTTTCTCTATTTCCTGCATGAATTATGTAACCAATTACGGAATTAATATATTTTAGACTACATATAACAAACTCATATAATCTAATTGAAAAAATAATTTTTAACTCATATAATTTAATTGAAAAAATAATTTTTAATGAAATCATTTACAGTTAAAGGAATCAACAATCTCTAACATCTCCAGTATGCATAAAATAATAGGAAAGGAAGAGAAGCATAGCATCTCCAACGTCTGGTTGTTACTACAATGAAATATGCAAGGATGGTTCTTTTTATATTCTTATAATAAGAATCAATTCTTAAAAAAAAAATCTCCATATTTAACAACACATGTGGATAACTTGAATAAGAATCAATTCTTAATAGCATTCAAAAATCCAAACCACCAAGTTAAAACTTAGAATTTTCCAAATTTAAATGAAAACAAAAATCAGATTAAAAGTGGTAATCAATGAACAAGTAGAAAAAACCGTGTGTACTACCTAGCAGCTAGCGGTGACCGGTGAGAAACGAAAAATGTGCGGAGAGGATTTGTTTCCTAATCTCTCGTTAAATTTTCAATCTCAAAGTGAGAGATTCCGATATTGCAAATTGAAAAATATCATAACAATACCAGTGAAATTCAACACAATAAAAATCAAATATCAACATCAAAAATATAAAAAACATAATCATTATTACAATTCACGAATACAAAAAAATGCATTCAATTCATATGAATCTGAACCGAAAAGAGAGCCAACGATCAAAATTAAAAGAGAATAATAATTATTATTATAGAACTAGAAACTTTACCGGAAAATTTTCTTGGTTTTGATTGGAATGAATCTCAGCCTTAGAATCCTGACGACCTCGTCGGCCAACCGTCTGGTTGAAACCTTGTTTTTGGTAGAAAACTTTCAATAGAGATTCTGATATTGCAAATTGTAAAACCTTGTTTCTCTGTTGTGTTGTAGGTTGTAGCTTTTGGGACAAAGGATTTTTTTAATTACTATGAAAAATAATGAAGATGATGAAGTTGTAAACAAATTGTTACGGTTCGTACGAAAAGTAAGAATATTGTAATATATGTGTAAAAGGAATGACCTGTAGTTTTTACATGTTTTCATTTCAATTATATTAAATCTAAAAATCATCCATTTAATCTATTGGTTATTGTTTGGGGTTTCACCGGTGAGGGACTTAATTGAACCCTCACCTTAAACAACAAAAATATAACCTATAATATTCTATTTTATGTTTTTAAAATATATAAATTATAACTTAATAAATATAACTTATTAAATATAACATTTAAAATATTTTAAATATTAACTATAAATTCTGGTTTTTTTTTTAATTTTGTTTTTAAAATATAAAAAATAACTTATGAAATATAACAAATATAAAATATAACTTATAAAATATAATATATATTCTATTTTTAATAAAAATAACATATTAAAAAAAATCCTATTTTTACACAACAACAACAACCAAATAAATAATCTTATCAAACCTAAATAATTTCATATATCATCAATAAATTCTATTTTTACACAACAACATTCAAACAACTTCTATATACAATTTTATTCATATAAACATGAAAAATAAATAATTTAAATTACAAAAATACCTCAATGAAGCAACAACAAAGTTTGGATCTTGAATCTTGATGAGCTCCTCTTGAATCTTCCAAAAAAATTTTAACAAAAAAATAATTAAAAATTAAAAATTAGAAAATATTAAAATAAAATGTAAAACGAAAAATAAAAATAAAAAGAATAAAAAATAAGGAGGAAGACATAAATCATACCTTTGATTCAAAACAAAAAAAACGGGTGTTAAAATGGTATGGTGTGGAGGAAAAGATGAACTTCAGGAAGAAGAAGAGAGAAAGTAGAAACTAGAAGGAAGGAAGGAAGGAAGAAAAGAAGAAGACTTAACGTGATGAGTTCTGGAGATTTGGAAAATATAGTGAATTTTGTGACGTGGTTAACACATGGGAAAGAAGCCTTGTGATTCCCACGTCGAAACATATTTCTAGTAATAAATAACAATCATTCCAAATTTAATATTCTCAACGGTAAAAAAAAAACAGTCAGGCCAAAACTAATTAATATAAGGTAGCAACGTGGGAATCACGTCAAAAATTTGTCACGTGTATTCCACGTCGAAACTTTTGCAAAAAATAAAACTATGGTCAAACCAAATTTAATATGTCTCAACGGTATAAAAAACAATCAGTCCAAAATTAATTAATAAAAGTTAGCGACGTGGGAATCACGTCGGAAATTTGTCACGTGCATTCCATGTTGGAAACCCTACAATACTGTCAGAACCATCATTTCACAGACATAGATGTTTCCCACTTTTTTTTTCTATTTTTGAATTTCATTTTCCCATGTGGGTACCACACCACAAATGAAATTTTGGAAAAATTCAAACTTGCCCCCACGTGAAACCCAATACTTTGATTTTAAAGTTTTAATTTTTGTGTTGCGACATGAAATTCACGTCACAACAATTTTTTTTTTAAAAATAGCACCCATCATTTGGAAACCTGAAACTCTTTTGTTTATTAAAATAATTTAGTGTCGTGGTATACACGTTGCAACTTCCATTATTTCCCACATGAGTACCACGTCACTAAATCACGTAGCAAATTACATGTTTTCTTGTAGTGATATACATGGCTCTATGCAGGAGTGAAGCGACATGACTAATGCATGAAAATGATATATGCAATGATATGAAAGTTTTTAAAAATGCCCCAGCAGAGGATAATTGATAAAAGATTCCTTTTGTAGCAAGACTTCTTGTCAGAAGGAAAAAGTTGTTTGGTGGGGTGATAGCATGATTCCCTGACACCCGTCTTAAACTCAAAGGTTGTCGACAGAGCTTGCTTGAATTAGTTGAAAGCATGGAGAGGTCTTGCCCCTTTGTGATTCATCTTGCCCTAGTCAGGGTCTTTGAAGAAATTCTCCTTGAAAGGAAGTTTGGAAGCCGTTATACCATGAGATGAACTCGAGATGGCTTGCCCCAAAATTCTGAGTCATAACAAGATTCATCCTTGAAAGGAAATTTGGAAGTAGTCGTACCATGAGATGAACTCGAGATGGTTTGCCCCAGAACTTCAAGTTATGAAAGGAAGTTGGAAACAACATGAGATGATCTTGAGATGACTTACCCCATAATTCCAAGTTGTGAAAGGAAGTTGGAAATTGTTGTATCATGAGATGAACTTGAGATGGTTTGCCTCAGAACTTCAAGTCATGAAAATAATTTGTCATTGAAAGGAAATTGGAAACAGTTGTACCATGAGATGAGCTCAAGATGGTTTGCCCTAAAATTCCAAGTCATGATAGGATTTTTCCTTGATTGACCGAATCTTGGAGTGATTGGCCTCGATGTACTCTTTAGGTAGTCTTCCCTAGAATGAGCGTTGAAACGGCTTAAGTTAAGTTGATTGAGTATTGAAGGGATTCACCCTTAATCAAAAGGAACCTCTGGATGCCTACCCCTGATGGGTAAAGTCTTAAGATGATTCACTCTTGATCAACTGATTCTTTAATGATTTTCCCATAGTCAACTGCTGCTCGGGGACTTGCTTTAAGCTGGTCTGATTCCCAAAATCATTGGATGTCGATACCTCTTATCCATGGGGTGATCTTGACTCTGATCGAGTTTGGCGAATGATCAAGTCATCTTTGATTGCTCCTTTGTTATTTCCTTGATGTCAAGTGTTGACTTGTAATTAAAACTATTTATTCATAAATGGTAATTTTAATGAAATGCTCACACAAGTTTTGAAGAGAATCAATCATTATTGGAATGATGAGATAGTTGTGAAGAATGGAGCATTAGTCCAAACCAGTGATGATTTAGCTGATGTGAAAGATACAACAACAAGAAGATTAGCAAATCTCTAAGAGTCAGTTTACGCAACCTTGCTGCAGTATGTTTTCAGAATAAACCACGCCTCAATTAGGTCTTTTGAGAGTTGTGTTATGGTCTGGTTCGCGGTTATAGAAATAAAGGATATAAGGCTCAAAATTGATTTGTACCCACCCCTTCTTCGTGATGTTCTCTAGTTCTACGTTCAGTTAAATTGACACATATGTGTCTTCTAAGAAAGTTTGACGATGTAAGAGTGAAGGTGAGGATCCGCTTGAAATGGCATACACTTTATTTGCTTTTGTCATAGATATCAATGACCCTTTTATTTTTGACATGATGGTCACTGAATCTCTTTTTTTTGTTTTTGCTTGAGGATTTGAGGACCTCTTTTGCTTTTGATTTTTCTTTTGATCCCTAATTTTTGCCTGGACTAATTTTTTTTCAAGTCCATCAGGATTGCCCTAATTTTTGTCTAAGCTTCCTCTTTTGAGTGTTCAAATTAGCGGGCTTTTTCTTTTTTGATTGATTTTTTATTTGGAAAGGCTTGTGACTGCCAAGTCACTGATCGTTAAAGAATAACCATCATAACTTTTGAGTTTCGTACGGTTTCTTCGACACTTTAGAATGTGTGCAAAGAATAACATATGATTGATCCTCAGACGGGATGTATCATCTTGAAATCAAACGTGTAGTCAAATTAACTAAACACTACCCATGCCCCAGGTTAAACGTAAAGGTTTAGAAATCCAAAGGAAACTCATACTTCTAGGCCTGAATTGGTTAACTAGGGACTAACTCCTTAT